TCTCTCTACATTCTAATCTACCACTGGTTGAATCCATATGAACTTGTAATTTGATTGATTGATTAAATATGGGAACATCAATTACATATATGTGAATCATGTATGATTTTGTACGTGAATATATCTATATATATATATATATATATATAGGCAAGTTCAAATAATAAGACGATCAATTTGTGAGAAGAAAAGAAGAAATATGAGTCACATTATCCATTAATTAATTAAAAAATACCATAAATAAGAAATAGAAAATAATTTTAAAATTTTAAGATAATTATTATTTTAAATTAGATAAATTCTTAAAATTCTCATTATATCTTTTAAATTTATTTTATTTTCAATTTTAATAATTTATAATTTTTTTTATCAAGTTTTATATACTTTTTTCCTAGATACGCTTTTGATAAAAAAAAATCACAATTTTCATTGTACACAATCAATTTATATGGATAATTGTAAATATTTTTTTAATCATATGTGATTATTTATATTAGCATTTATAGATCTTTTTGTGATGTAAATATTATCACATGTGATAATACGTCACTTATATTCAGACATATATTACTATATAATTTATATGTGATATATAAAAAATCCACATAGTGAATCATATTATGATACGTAATAGATAATATGTTAAACGAAGCTAATCACATGTGATTCAAAACGTCGATCCAAAAAATAGAGAAAAATGGTATAAAAAAAATAATGAATTGATTATGGATATCACTCGTGATATTTGATAAAAATTATGAATTTTCTTTATCAAATGTGTTATCCAAAAAAAATTATATAAAACATGATAAAAAATTATGAATTAATGAAATTAAAAAAATAACTAAATCTAAAAGATATAAAATTCAAAATGGTAGTTATCATAAATTCAAAAATTGTTTTGCATTTTTTATTTATGGTATTTTTTAATTAATAAATTTGTGACACATATTTTTTCTCACATTCTTTTAAAATTAGTTTGTTTTTCGTATGATCATCCCCATTTCTCTCTCTCTTTATATATATATATATATATATATATATATATATGTGTGTGTGTGTGTGTACGTGTGTTCATTTCAAATGCAACCTGTTAGACTATCAATCTGTATAACTAATGCAACCCAATCAATTGAGATGTTTATGGAAATGATAAAAATTCATTTATTATTATTTGAATATTTATTAAAGACGATATTAGAGTCATTAATTATGATACACAATTTATATCAGAAACCAATCAAGATACTTATAAAACCACATGTTCACTAGATTAAATAAACCGTTGAGATTGGGCTGCAATAGTTGTACAAATAGGATAGGGTGTATAATAAACCACCTATTTCTCTCTCTCTCTCTCTCTCTCTCTCTCTCGCTATATATATATATATATATATRTATATATATATATATATATAGAGAGAGAGAGAGAGAGAGAGGGGGCACATTCAAATGAAAACCGTGCAATTCTTAGAAACCGTGTAAACTAATTTCGACCAATAGGAAAATTATATTTTTTTCTAATTAAATTTAATCATTAAGGATATATTGGTTATTTGCATTGTTTTCTATTAAATATGAAAGTTATTAATAAATCTTAATTAAGATAACATAATAAAGAAAATTTTATAAATAGTAATATTTAAATATTTAATTAAATTATAATATTAAAAATTAGATTTTGTTATATTGTGTCTCGGTTTATTATCGTCAAGATTCATGAAAATCGTAAGTTATTAGATTAATAAATACATGAAATCAGTAATAGAAAAAAAATTCATGAAACCGATTTTATACATAGTGAAATTGGTGCATGGAGTAAGTGAGAAATGATTATGAAATGGTGCATGATGAACCGGTTTCATACATGGTAAAATTGGTGCATGGAGTAAGTGAAAATGATTATGAAATGGGTGGATGATGATATGGGTACGTGAACAATCTCATTAGACAAGTAAAACAAGGTGCATGATGAATAGGTTGATGAATAAGGTGAGGAATTTACTATAATATGGTGCATGATGAATAGGGTGATGAATAGGGTGCCTTACGAAGATGTGGTCGGGTTTACCATTTTGCCCTTCTCACTATTATAAAATAAAAAAATTAAATATATATATATATATATATATATATTTTTAATCTCAACCACAAATCAATAAATAAATTAGAAAATTTATAATTTTGATAATTTTGAATTAAAATTTTAATGCAAGGACATTTTAGGTATTTTCTCTCTTCTCTCCTCTCTCTCCGTCCCCGATCCTCCGGCCACCGTCCTCTGGTAATACCACTAAGATACATAAAAATATTGACTCTTTTAAACAAAAGACACACAGTATGATACCCAAGCACATATAAGATGCATTGTGATATCACTATGTTACATCTCTGATCGACCACACAAACGACCTTAGTATGATACCCAAGCACATATAAGATGCATTGTGATACCACTGTGGTATCAGGGGAGAACAGTGGCTAGAGGCCAGAGGACGAAAAGAAAAGAGAGGATAGAAAAGAGTTTTAAAATACCTAAAATGTCATTGCATTAAAATTTTAATTCAAAATTACCAAATTTATAAATTTCCTAAGTTGTCTATTGATTTGTGGTTGAGATTGGACCTCATGGTTATCACAAACTAATTAGTTCTCATTTGATTAGGCATGCACGCGCATGATTATTGTATTCACGTATGTTATATATATATATATATATATATATATATATATATATAACATACGTGAATACAATAATCAACCTATTTATATATGCACTCATACATAAATGTCATATATGCATACACACATTTATATTATTAAGGGTGCTATTTTGTATCAAATCAAACTAAGTAACATGTGTACCAACCGTATAAATTAAATTGGTATCAATTTGATATGTATCAATTGCAATCGATTGATAGTACCATATATGAAAAATTGGTTGGTACAGGTATTGGAAGTCTCAAACCGCGGTAGTATAGTGATACCAACTTATTTAATTATTTATTAGTTTTTGTTTTTTAAAGTATTAAATATTAAACGTCATAAATTTAACATTTTTGTTTGAACATGTGAATATCTGCAAGTTCAATTTCTTTGCAATTAAAAAACCTTAAACAAGACAAGTATTACCTACAAACTTAAAATTTGAACAAACTACAAGTTTTCATATATGTAATTTGAGGTTGGTACAAAACATAATATCAACCAAAAAATGATGGTACCAATAAAGTTAGTACATGATGTACAATTTCACGTACAGGTTATAATTGATTGGTATAAAATATTAGAACAAAAAACATGGTATTGTATCAACGACACGGCGGCTATGATCAGATCCTAGTGTTGATTCACTTTTGACGGTTGATTCTATTGCCCCCGATGCTTAATCGCTTCATTTAGGCATCTAACGATGTTATAGTGGTTGTTTGCTCCTCTTTCTCGGGCTTAAAAGCGCCTTAGGTAGCTGTTATCTATCGAATCTTTTCTAAGAGGTTTCTTCTCTTAGCACAAAAGCACTAAGCAAGTAAACTACCTCTACTCTTTCCTCCCAAACTCTTCTTTACCTACTAATTGAGTGCCAACACGTAGCAGTGCTATCAGTAAGAATAGGGGTGGCAATAGCTCAGGTTAGGTTTGGTTCAGATTTATCCCATTTATTAAAAAGGTCGAAAATCTCAACCCAACCTAACCCATTTAATTAAGTGGATTAAGATTTTTCAACCCATCCAACCCAACATGTTATCTAAATGGGTTGACAACGGGTTGACCTGTTTAAGATTTTCTTAATCCAACTTGTTAAATAAATGGGTTGATTCTGAGTTGACCCATTTAATTTTAAAATTTTAAATAACAAAAAGGACTAGATTATTTAATTTTTTTTGAGTGTGTGTTCGAAGAGAGGCTGGAGGCTGGAGACTGGAGACAGATGTCAGATGGAGACCGGGAGAGCCTATTGAGTCCCTAATGTTGGACGCCTAGACAGAGAGGAAACCGAGAGGGAGACAATTAGACAAATGTTGGACGGAGAGAGAGCCGAGAGGAAGAAAAACGTTGGACGGAGAAAGAGCCGAGATCGAGAGGACAAGAGGTGGACAACAGACTTGAAGAGTTGGATTGGACTTTGGAGGCGATTATGGAGTAATGGACTAAAGGGTTTCATGATAATTGAGAGTAATGGAGACGATTGGAATTTGGACTTCCATCTCACAACGGTATGATTTTTAATTAAGAATAAAACAAAACTAAAAATTAGAATACAAGATATAATATTAAGAATAAAATAAAATTATATAATATTTTAAATGGGTTGGAAACAAGTTGAAAACGGGTCGAAAAATTCAACTCAACCCAACCCAGCCCATTTATTTAAATGGGTTAGACAAGTTAGGTCAATTTATTTATGTAAATGGGTTGAAAATCTCAACTCAATCTGCTAACTCTAGGTTGGGTTGGAGTTGGTTAGCGGATTGACTCATTTTTTGCCACCCCTAAGTAAAAAGGTTAGACCACCGGCGCCCGAGACGGTATTCCCTAGATATTATAAGTTTATTTGTTCTATTTTATTTTTGGATATTGAAATATTGAGTTAGTCAAGTTCTAAGTATTTAACTTACATTGATGCTTAGATAAATCAAGAAAATATATATCTTTGGACCAATAATGTAAAAAGATCTTGTTAATGGACTAAACTGTATGGAGGTGAATAGTGGAAGGACGAAATTTGTATTTTAATTTTTATGGAACGCATACAACTGTGTTTCCCTTCCCTCTCGAGAGAAAGAATATATATATATGTAACTAGAAATTTAGAGAGTTTGTTAGAAAGACGTGGCCTCCGCCTCTCATTCTCCGATCGCTGGATTACCGTTGTGGTGGCCGGCGGTGGTAGTACTGGTTGATTCCGGTGACCTGCTACGTCTCGATTATTGCTTCTTAATAATTAATTAATTACGTGGCTGCATATATTTATGATTATATAATAAAAATTATTGAAGATGGCGTACCGTAGAAAGCAGGGAGGACTTTCTAGGTCTTCTACGTTCAAGGAAGAGATTCGCCACCAAGATCATGACATCATCACCACCTCCGCCTCCTCCTCCACCGCTCCGTCGTCACCTCTGGCACGGAGAACAAATGCTAATTCCCCATCCCAATCGCAGGCTGCTCGTCTTGACAGTTTTCTCTCCTCAGGTGCCTTTCACTCCTCTTTAAAAGACCGATCCAAGGTGCGTAGGTTCACTTTTCTATTTTAATTTACCAGTAATTAATTATATATGTGTTACAAAATTCATGCATGTATACGTACATACCTACCTTTCAATTCATTCCAAGGCATAATCAATCAATAATGTGCCCTAATTGTAATTTATGGCTTCAATCGACTTTTTTCTTCCTGATATTAAACCCTTTCCGACTCTTCAACCAAATCATCATCTCACAATTCTAGCTAGTTCTATTGAATCTGCAAACTAATTGGTTGTTTCAAACACTTAATGATGGTCATTTTGGATTAATTTTTGCTTAATTTGTAAGCTAGGTCTTAAGTTTATAATCCTTTTAGAGGTAGAAAATTAAAGAAGAGAAGCCAATTACATGAGTACTAATATATATATGGTTGTACCCTCAACTTCTTTGGCTAGGTGTTATAAGCAAAGGGATTAGCTTTAATTTTATACTCACCCATGAATTGAGCTTTAGAAGGGAATTAATACGTTGTATTTCAGTGCACCTCATTAGTGTTTACTTTCAATCTCTTCTAACCATAAATTCCCTTCTCACCGGAACCCAACCCGCTGTTATGATGTTGTAATTATATATATTTGTTGAATTGTGGTGGTAATTAAACTTAAATAGGGTTCTGCAACCTATGATTATACTTCGATGAGGAGTACAAATGAAGCAGGAGGGTTTTGGGGCGTTTTAGCAAGGAAAGCTAAATCCATTCTGGATGATCGTCAATCTCCCACCAGCAGCCTAAAGCCAATAGTTACTACTTTCTCAACAAGTAACCACCATGGCATTCAATATGAAGCTTATTCCAAGAAAATTGATGATAGTCCAACATCAGGGAATGGGATGCATACATCACTCACATCTTTTTCACTTAATCAAATTGGTGACACAATTGGGAATGCTCTGGAGGTAATTCATTATCAATTGCATGTTTTTACACATATATATATAATTAAAAAGTAGAAAAAATTGATATTAATTAATTAATTTGTGCCCAGGAAGCAGCAAAGAAAAGTGAAGATAGGATCCAAGAAACAAGTGCAGCTGGTAACAGTAAAAGATCAGCATTGAATGATGAAGAAAAGGATTATGCTGAACCCATCCAAGAAAGTACTCAACTCAAGGCTTCACGCCACGTAAGGTGGCAATTGTTAATTTCTAAATATTAAGTAATTTGTATATGTAGAAATGATGATATATATATATATATATATATATACATTTGTAGTTATTGGAATGTGATGAAAACCAACAATTAACAACATAAAAGTATGCATTAATGTTGTGGGTATCGAGTAAATGCAGGTTGCAATTGCAACAGCTGATAAGGCAAAACAACTTGCTCGGGAGCTCAAAAGTGTGAAGGCGGATTTAGCTGTTGCAAAAGAACGATGCTGTCAGCTTGAAGAAGAAAATAAGATTCTACGAGAAAAGGGACCAACAGATGATGATATGGTATGTATGTACATATAATATATCCTTCTATCAATATTTCCTTAATTAATAATGTTAATTAATATATAAACATAGATTCGGGATCAGCTTGAGACGCTTTTGGCGGAGAAAGGGGTGTTGGCTCATGAGAATTCAGTATATGCTCGTGAGAACAGGTACTTGAGGGAAATTGTGGAATTCCACCACCTCAGCATGCAAGATCATATGCTCATGTATTTGGATCAAGACGACGATAATCTTCTATCTTCCTTTCATCAAATTCATCCTGTCGTCTCTGATTAATTATTTTATTATATATATATATATTCTTTTGTATCAATATAATTCCATCCATCTTTTGATTTTATGATGGAAATTTATTTATTCTTTTATATATATATATATATATATATATATATATATATGTATATATGTTAATTTAACTCTCCATTGAATTAATAACTTGCACTCAATCCTGTATTGTTTTTGGGCTTCATTTCAAATTCTTCATCAATTTCAACATGAATCTTTAATTTTCAAGTTCATTATATATAATATAATATATGAAAATTATTGGGAACCCATAATTCAAACTTATTAATTAAGGTGGTGCATGGTGTGTGTTGAAATTATGGTAATTTACATATGTAAGCATCACTTGGCTTTATTTCTGATTTCTGAATTAAGCACTTGATAAGCTTAATTATACTTCCTCATGAGTCTTTTCACCTTGGGACCAGAACTGCTGGTGTTTAGAACCGGTTGAGTCCATCGTAGTACTCTATTAATTCACAGGTTGTGGAGAGGAAATTTATGTGAAGAGAGTAGCGACCATTTTCTAAAAAGTAATGAAATAACACATACTTTGTAAAAATCATAACAAAATAAACTTTAATTAGTACGAGTGGGTATTCACTGCATGAAAAGACAAAAAGAAAACAGGTAGCCAGCTGCCTTAATTTGTATGAATGCATTAATTCCATACAACATTTTTAAGTGTTAATTTAGATACAACAGGCAAAACTTTGATTAGCAATTAATTAATTAACCTATATATATATATATATATATATATATATAATAATCGGATGGCTGGCTGGCTGGCTGGCTGCATGCTTCCAACTATACGTTTGTCAATCAAAACAACTGAAAGGATAAAGTAGTTGATCCATCAGCAAACGATTTAAGATCATCTGAATGTTTCACCACCGCTCTGCACAATGGACATGTCTTTTCCCTTTCCAACCTGCATGCATGCACCCACCAAATATGTATATATATCATTAATATTCATACAATTCTACCCAAGCTTCTTCAATTTGTATATATATATATATAAACAAACATCAATTAACTAACCACTCTGATACACAGTCTTCACAAAATATGTGTTTGCAACACAGCATCACTGGAGCACGCATTTTGTCTTGGCAAATAGCACAAATCTCACCACCTTCATCCACCTGCATCCATTTACCATATATATATATATACACACATATATATACATTTTTCAATACATTTATTATTGTTATTATCCAATTAAAAAAGATGAAGAAAACATGGGGATGCATGAGGCCTGCCTGCTCAGTTGTTGCATAAGTTCCATAATGAATCTCCTCATGAGACAATGCCTTGAGAGCACAAGACAAGGATTGAACCTACACATATATTATCATTTAGAATGAGAAGAATTAAGGAGCAAACTCCATGAAACTCATAAAATGTATGTTTGGAGAAAATTGCACCTTTTCAACTAAAGAGGTGAGTTTGAATGTCAGATACAATCCAGTTATTAGTGCAGAAAATAGGCTGCCATACTCTTCGTTCAAAAAGAACCGATACCACACAGGAACAGGCAGCAAGGCACGGTATAGCAGTAATAAATACTCCACCAATCTTAGCATTTGACCCTGTGAGATCAGAAAAAAGAATCATGTCACTGCAACTGAATCTTGTTTCAACAAACAGAACCCAGATAGTATCTCACCTGCTTTCGGTAATTTAGTCCTTTGCTATTCTTGTAATACATCAAGAGCAAACACTTTACCACCATGGCTGCTTGCCTCACCAAAATATCTGAAATACATGGAAAATTTTAAGGTGTTTTAACCAAAAAATAGCAAAAAACATAAACAACCAAGATATCAAAGGTCAAACGAAGCCTTGGTGTTTGATTGAATGTGCTAGGCTATTAAGCCTATGAATCTCCTTTTCTATCTAACAACAAAATAAACCCTAATGCAGAATACAAGCTTAGGGGCCGTTTACCAACACAAACCGGGTAAGCACTACCATCCTCACCATACCAAGTAAGATTCTTGGTCATCAAAATGGTGGCAACTGAGTAAGAGTCACCACCCTCAACTACCGGGTAAGATTCTCGGTCAACAAAATGGCACGATAAGATTGTTGGTAAGGGGCACTAAGTTATTAGTTACCCGGTAAGAAGTGGTTTTAATGTTTAGTAAACAGCCCTTAGTTTAAAAGCATATGGAAAATGGATGAGAAAAACTCACCATTCACCACTATTATAAAAATTGCATGCCAAAAAGGCGGTATATTTTTGGGAGGGAGCATGAGCAATGGATAAAGGAGATCATCCTTGCGATACCACCAATAAACCCCAGCCACATAAAGGGTGAAGAAGAGAGAAACATTCGTTAAAACTGATATCTTCCTATCTCCCTGCATGCAAACAACATTCAATGTACCTTAACACCCATCCTTTTCTAAAAAGGTTGAATAGATCCCATAAACTTATAGAAACTCTCTGCACCTTAAGAGCTGTCTGTTTCCTTAGAATGTCATTTGATTTGAACAAGAAAGCAGCAATCGAGATCGTGACAAGAAGACCTGTAATCAATTATAAAAACAGTAGTCCGGAAAATTGGATATTCGGGTAAAAGATTTTGCTAACCAACAGTTATAAGAATAAAATATTCTCTAGTCAACTCTGTTCTACTCACAATCTTGGACTTGTTATCTCCAATTCACCGTGTTCTCTACTTCTAATTACTGGCACAAAATTATTACAGAAACACATGCATAAAGAGGATTGGATACATCTGTTATATTTGTGTCAACCACGTACTTCATATTGAGTATTAGACAACAAAAAAGCAACAATATCTATATAAGAAGAGCCATGAGTTTGTTAAGACGGGCATGAGGTGAAATGATTATAGTGTTAAATTCTATTACATACCCCAAAATGGAAACCAAGGCATTGACTGTTTTACTGACCAAGGTCTATTTCCGCTGAAATAGAATTAATATATCATCAAAAATTAATTACACTTGTATGTGAAAAGAATATGCATGGGGCTGCCAGAAACAATCCCAACCCTCCTCTAAGAACCCTCAACCAAAAAACAAAGAGGAATAGATTGTTGTTGTCTGGTCCTAGCTTCCATGCTTCCGTGACAATGGCCCACTTCGATATCAATCAACCAAAGCACCTTCTTTCTTTTTCATTTAACTTTACTTCACCGTTTTCGATTTTCATTTAATTTATAAAATGAATTGAAGTCATCATTTTTTGTTCCTTATTTGTTGTATGGCTCAATTTTATTGATGCATTGATGTGCCACTTCAAGATTGAATGTAAACTTCTTTACTAACTAAAGTAGCATCCAATCTTGAAATGACACATCAATGCATCAATAAACTCGAGAACCAGAAAAAGCAATAATAAACTGAAAATTATGATTTTATAAAGAGTATTAAAGATGCCAATGGTGTATATCATAAATACCAGGAAGGGAGAAGTGATGGACCAATTTTCATTAAAAAATAGTTCACCCTATATATTGTACAATTTAAGTAAGGAAAACAAGAAAGAAGAGCCACAAAATCATTCAACATACAATGCTAGCCATCAAATCATGAAACTTCCAATGCTTTCATGAAGGGCCTTTTGCTTCACTAAAGGAGTCCATACTTATGTCTATTTCATGCAATATGATGGTCAAATGTATTATGATATATCCAAAACTGAAACCAGTTTCAATGGAATAACACTTCAATTTTATGAATATCATAAAAAAGAAATTCATTAATCCACTCAAAGAAGGTAGCAGATAAAAGCTACTCCATCCGTCTCAAAATAAATGTCCATAGTGAAAAAGACATACAGTTTTAGAAATATGTAATTACTACATTTTTTTACTAACTAAATGACAAGTTTACCCTCAACAATAGAGGGGGTAAATGATCCTCCATCTCATGATTATGGGCATGATTAGAAAATATGTACTTACTTTTGAAAGAAGACACTTATTCCTAGACAAACTAAAATAGAAAAGTGGACACTTTGTTTTGGGATGGAGGGAGTACTAACTAAAATAGAAAAGTGGACACTTTGTTTAGGGATGGAGGGAGTACTATGTAAGTACCCACTCGCTGTTTGAAATATAGTGACTTTACAAATGAGGAAGATCATAGGTTGTTTGTTCATGCTTTAAAATTTTCAACGGATGCAGCTGATGGCACAATTTCCATAATCATACTAAATAAAGCAGCAGTTTTGGCCAAACAAAGCAATCAAATGAGAATGAGAGTATAGTACCTTGCAGATGTTGGCGAATGAAGACGGCCAACAGTAGCAAAATGAATGGAAGAACCTGCTCAATCCACGTGGTAGCCTGATCAACCCCGTTTCTCTGGTCAGAAGAATTTCTGGTGTTGTTAACCCCAGCACCACCATCCGAAGCCTCCACGTCAACACTCCCATCCCCAGAACCATAATTACCTTCAACATTTACACCGCTATCACTCCTAGAATCTACCTGAGCATCTAATACAACCGCAGAATCGGGTCTAGAAATTGGTTGAATAGATGTCTCATTCTGTGTAGTCATCCCTTCTCTCACCTGATCAACCCCATCCCTGTGTTCTTGTTCTCCACCACCAATGATCCTAATGGATATTTCCCCATTGTTATCCCCATCACCAGAAAAATTATTCTGGGTGAACCTACGAGCTGATGATTCGGAATTCCTAGAAGCCCCTGTTCTCGATATACCCGTGTATTCAAAGAATGTTGATAAAGGGGAGTGAAAGAAATTGGAAGCAGAAAATTGGTTGTGGTTGTTTCCATTATTATATCTTCTAGACTGATGATGTGGATTTCTGGTACTGAAACTAGTACTAGTGCTTGCCCAAGAACCTCTAAACGCATCCATTTGGCTTGAAGACCTAACCCCAATCCTATTTTAGATTTTTGTTTTGAAAGAAATACAGCACAACAACAACAACAACAATATTAAATTTCACATTATCAGTTAACGAATCCACATATTACACATTTAAACAAACAAAAAGAATATTGAATTATGATATCAAAAAATTGAAGCATAAGAACAGGGAGTATACAGTTAAGCGTCGATTGTTACCTTTGATGTGGAAATTCCGTGGCGTAATCAATCGCAAAATATTATTGAAGGAAATGCCCGAAAGAAAAAAAAATGGCGGATGAAGGAGGGGCGTCGGAGGAAGAATCAGAAGGAATGGTGGTGGTGGTGGTGGTGACGGTGATCTCTGTTTTCCTCTCTCTCTCCCTCTCAAATCGCAGAGCGCGAGAAGGAGAGAGGCGAGAACACAAATGAATGTATAATTTATTATTTATTGTGTTTTGGAAACTCCATAATTTAGAAGGCCTTCCTTACTATCAACCAAACAAAATTTGCTCCTCCATTTTTATGCATGTTTATCTAAAAATAAAAGTAAAATGTTATTTGTTTATCTTTATAGGGTTGGGTTCATGTGAGACTAATTTATGTTCATTACATCAACTTTATAAACTAATAATCTAATGGTCTAAATTTGTACGGTGACAATTTTGTGATTATTAAGAAGTCTCGTGACAATTTTGTGATTATCAATGTTCAAATTGTAGATTTAATCCAAGAGTTGATAATTAGTCTTACAGGTCTCATAAAAAACCTTTGATTTCACATGATCCCAAGTCTATCTTTTTATAATCATTAAAAGATAATCTTGTTTAACAAAAAACAATCTGTCTTTTAATGATTCTAAAACTTTTTAAATGATTTTGTATATTGGGACTTACTAAACCATTAAACGCCATAATTTCATTTTGAACAATTACCAAATACACTATAAGAGTCTATTAATCATTCTAATCACTTAATCATCGTACACAAAACCATTCAGCAATTGTCAAATAACTCATTTGTCCATTTTCAAAAGCAAATTATCAAATTCTCAAAATTTACCCTTTATTAATTCAAATATTTGAGAGTTGTGAATAGGGAGAAATTAAATAAGGTAAAGATGTCATTTGGTTAACAAAAAAGTGTAATAATAATACATGTTTAAAATTATGTGTCATTTCAATTGTGTACACCTATATTGGGACCGATGGAGTAGTAAATTGTGTTTGGGTTAAATTATTTATGTAAAATTTTTAAAAAATAACTTATTATTAAATATTAGGTATTTTATCTATACTCTTTTACAAAAAATGAATTACAGTTATTCTTAAAATTTTATAAACATATTTTTGGATTGAATTATATTATGAAATATCATAAATACGTATAAATATACATACCATATATATGTATAGCATATTAACAAGTATATATGAATCTATAATAGGAATTCTTATTTATATCTATTCAAAATTTACACTCATCTAATTGTATAATTATACAACTAGCATCGGGATGGAAAAAAAAGAATAAAAATGAAACATGATTGATATTTTAAGTTTTCGGTTATGAAGAATCGAAGTTGCATTGCTAACACATAAACAACCTAATTTACATCTCTTAGCAAACTATATCGTCGTAAGAGGTGGCTTGGACTCTATTATCTTTCTGCATGCCTTAATCATGCCCTCCCAACTCGGTGTCATCCCCTTCAAATATCAAATAACGAAAATTTTATAATTTTTAATATAACATTGAAAACCGTCTTCATTTGTGTAAACTATGTAAACCAATTTCATTTATTCATTTTCTTGATCAATGGTCAAGATTAGTTTAGGTTATATTAGGAAATTAAAAAAAATTATAATCCTTATAAGGGCAAAATGATAACTTTGGTAGTGGTTTTATTAATGGCAACATATCATGTATATCGTAATATTAATGAAACAAAATCATTTGTAAAATAATATATTAATTTTATGTTCAAATATTATAAATAAAATCACATCCATTATTAAAATAGATCAACAATAAAAAATAAAACACACTATAATCTATTTAACATAATGAAACCTTTTGAATAATAATAAAAATAAATTTACTACTAAATTTCATGAATGAAATTGTTTCACAGTTTCATCAATACACAAATCAATGTAATGCAAGATGAGACATTTGTCATTTTCATGTTATTGGTAGATGGATCCGTTTCATTTTGATAATGCAATTGTTTCATTGTTCACTAATTACACAAAGTTTTCTTAGAAACCATGAAATGGTTTCACTTTCTTCAATCACTCATTTCATCGGCCAGCATGGTTTGATAAATTATTTGTCATTTCACGCTATTGATAATGAAATTGCTTCACTTTTCACTAATTACATAGACTTTTCTTATTTTTTTTAAATGGTTTCACTTCCTTCACGCCCCATATCATCATGCATCCATTTCATGATGCACCCATTTCATGTTGCACCCATTTCATAATCGTTTTCACTTACTCTATGCATCAATTTCACCATGTATGAAATCGGTTTTATCATGCACCCATTCAATAATCATTTTCACTTACTCCATGCACCAATTTCACCATGTATGAAACCGGTTTCATCATGCACCCATTCAATAATCATTTTCACTTACTCCATGCACCAATTTCATCATGTATGAAACCGGTTTCATCATGCACTCATTCAGTAATCATTTTCACTTACTTCATGCACCAATTTCACCATGTATGAAACCGGTTTCATGAATATTTTTTTTATTCAACTACAGATTTCATTGATTTATTACTCTAATAACTTACAATTTTCATGAATCTTGGCAATAATAAATCGAGACAAAATATAACAAAATCTAATTTTAATATTATAATTTAATTAAATATTTAAATGTTACCATTTATAAAATTTCATTTATTATGTTGTCTTAATTAAGATTTATTAATAACTTACATATTTAATAGGAAATAATGCAAATGACCAATATACCCTTAATGATTAAATTTAATTAGAAAAAAATGGAATTTTCCTATTGGTCGAAATTAGTTTACACAGTTTCTAAGAATTGCACGGTTTTCATTTGAACGTGTCTCTCTCTCTCTCTCTCTCTCTATATATATATATATATATATATATATACTAGGTTCGATCCCGTGTATTACACGAGGTAATTTGAAAAAATTAAATCATGTCAGGAACTTATCTTACAGATATGAATGATTATTGAAAGTACGATGCTACTTCAGACTTGTACTCTTGAAATGATTTTGAAGAATAACTATGAAAAATGATTTTTCATATTTGAATTTAGAAATAAAACTATATCAGTAAATTGAATTTAAACTTAGCAGTAAATTTAGAACGGCTCTTCAGACTTGTACTCTTGAAATAACTCTTAAGTATAACTCTAAAGAATGACTTCATACTTAGACTTGTACTCTTGAAATAACTCTGAAGTAATACTCTTCAGACTTCAGAGCTCTGTATAGTTAAGAAAGTCAACTTTCGTCGACGTCAGCCACAAATCCCCCACAAATCCGTCACTAAAATTAAAAATAAAATAAAATTTTATTTTTACAACTTTCCCGACGGATTTGTAACAGATTTTTTGACTTATTTAATATTGTCACAAATCCGTCGGAAATCCGTCATAAAATTGGTCTAATTTATTTAAATAAATTAATTAGCGTTAATTAATCAAAATTTACGACTGATTTTAATTGATTTTTATATTTAATTATACTCCGTCGAAAATGTTTAAGAATTTTTTTTTTCATTCTTTTCCCTTCCAAAAAATATGTTTAAAAAAATCATACGGATTGCAATTTTCTAAAAAAAATTATATTTCGTCGGAATTTATTTAAAAAATATGTGTTTTATAAGAGAAAATAAAAAAACTTTTTTTTAATAAATTCCGACGGAATATAATTTTTTATCATAAAAATTATTATTCATCGAAAATTTTGAACTTCTTTTAAATATATATTTTTGGAAGGAAAAAAATATAAATAAAACTTCTTTGAACATTACCGACATATTTTAAACGGAATTTCATTTAGCGGCGGAGGTTTTTCCGACGGAAATATCCGTCGGATAGTTGTTTTTCCTACGGATTTCCGATGGATTTTGCCATCGAAAAAACCACATTTTTTAGTAGTGATCAATCAAATATGTATAATTGAACTTTTAATGTAAATTGTGTCTAGATATGTTCAAATGAGTCTAATTAAACCACTAATGTAAATTGTGTCTAGATAATTGTTTAGGCGGGAAAACAAGGAAAACCGCCTCACTAGAAAATGAGACGTGTCACCCAAGTTACTTATTTATTATAAGTATAGATGTATGGGCTCCTTCATTTATTAATCTTGTTTTTTGTGTTAACTTTAAAAACCAATCTATAATCATCCAATTGTTAGATAAATGGTTTAAATTGTTTTGTTAATTTTAGTATTAAAAGTAACTGAAGCAATTAGTAAATAAAATGAATCATCATGAACATGGGTAAATTCGGTACACAACAAATAAAAGAAACTTACCATCGTCTTCTTCCCTACAATTATTCTTCTGTTACATTGTAGAGGGGCAAGGATGAGTGGTGAAAACAATAAACACATTCGTGAACATTGTTAACAATTATGAATCCCAATAAGTGAACATGTCCATGAACATTTTTAACGTCTGTCATGTGAGTTCACAATTTCCATGTTCATGAACACTTACTTAGTTCACACATAATGACTAGCCATTTTGAACATGTTAAAGATGAACACGATGGAAGACATAATAAGATGTTCATTACGCCTTGAGGAATTAAATATTTGAAAAGAGGCAAATTTTAGGAATAATGTAACTCCCATATTATGTCAATATATTCTTACTAATTTGCCCCCATCTATTAAATATTTAATAACCTATTAACCATGAACCAATATGGATTCCTATTAGACCATTTTTGTTTGTATAGTTAACACAAAAAACAAGGTTAACAAAAGATGGCACTC